GGTGACCGCACTGGTCAGCCGTGTGGGGGACCGCACGCCACACATCGCTGTTTCGCTCATCTAAACGACGCTTGGCGTGTTCAGTTCCCTCAGGCCACTGAGCTGCCCCGCTGGGTTGATCTCTTGAAGAAGGGGGTTGATCTCTATGCTCTAGACTTTGATGCTATTCTCACTGCTATGTATGTGATGTCTACTAGTGGAGACGGTGCTGAGTACTTGTGTGTGCCGCCCGACCCGTGCATTAGGACTAGTGCGTCTGCCGCTCCAGGTACTCGCGTGTCTGCTACCCCAGGTGCTGGTGAGGCAGCTGCTCTAGGTGCTTGTGCGTCTGCCCCCCCTTGGTACTGAGTCGACAGCAGCACTGCACACCTTCACACTGGACTCAGGTGCTTCTCGCTGCTTCTTTCGTGACCGCGCCGCCCTTGAGCCGCTTGCTAGGCTGGTTGCTGTCTCCCTCACTGACCCCTCTGGGGGTCCGGTCATTGCGACCTCCTCCACTGTTCTTCCCTGTCCTGCGGTCCCGTCGGGCACACTGTCAGGTCTCCACCTCCCCTCATTCTCCATGAACTTGGTGGCAGGTTGTGTGCTCCAGGACGGGGGTGTTCACCAGTTCACCCCTGCCTACGAGCGTGTGACACACTGCACGTGTGCTCGTACGGGCCGCCACTTGGCTACCTTCACTCGACAGCCGGGGTCAAACCTGTACACACTGACCACTGAGTCCCCTCAGGTTGCTGCGTCTGCGTCTGCGTCCGCGTCAGGTCAGCTGTCTGCCCCCTGCTCGTGTCGCTCTCTCGCGCACGAGACTGTCCTCTGGCACCACCGGCTTGGCCACCCGTCTGTGCAGCGCCTTCGTGCCATGCACTCCCGGTACCTTGTCTCTGGTCTTCCCAGGGTCCTCCCTCCCCTCCCACCCTCGCCTGCTCCTCCCTGTCTTCCCTATGTCGAGGGGCGGCAGCGCGCCGCTCCTCACTCCTCCTCTTTTCCCCCGACGACTGCTCCCTTGCAGACGCTCCACATGGACGTGTGGGGCCCAGCCCGCGTCTGTGGTCAGGGTCAGGAGCGGTACTTCCTGATAGTTGTTGACGACTACTCGCGCTACACCACGGTCTTCCCCTTGCACACCAAGGGTGAGGTCCCTGATGTCTTGATCCCTTGGATCCGCAGAGCCCGTCTCCAGCTCAGCGAGCGTTTCCGCTCGGACTTTCCTGTCCTGCGCTTGCACTCTGACAGAGGTGGTGAGTTCTCCTCCGACCTCTTGACAGCCTACTGTGCTGAGCACGGCATTGTTGAACACACGGTGGGTTGAACACACGGTGGGTTGAACACACGGTAGGTTTAACACAGGGTGGGTTTAACTCACGGTGGGTTTAACACACGGTGGGTTGAACACACGGTGGGTTGAACACACGGTGGGTTTAACACACGGTGGGCTTAACACACGGTGGGTTTAACACACGTTCACGCTTCCGGCCTCTCCACAGCAGAATGGGGTTGCGGAGCGCCGCATTGGCCTGGTCATGGAGGTCGCCCGTACCTCCTTGATCCATGCGGCTGCCCCCCACTTTCTGTGGCCGTTTGCGGTCCGGTACGCTGCGCATCAGCTCAACCTCTGGCCCCGTGTCTCCTTGCCGGAGACCTCGCCCACAGTGCTGTGGACGGGGGAGGTTGGCGATGCGTTGCGTTTCCGGGTCTGGGGATCTCGAGCTTTTGTCCGCGATACATCTGCGGACAAGCTCTCCTCTCGTGCTGTTCCCTGCGTCTTTCTCGGCTTTGTCCCGGATGCGTCTGGTTGGCAGTTTTACCACGCCACCTCGCGCCGAGTCTTGCCCTCTCAGGACGTCACTTTTGACGAGTCCATCCCCTACTACCGCCTCTTCCCCTACCGCACTGCCCCGCTCCCCCCCCCGCCTCTCTTCCTCGCGCCAGGTGCTGCTGTCGTAGACCCCCTCCCCCCTCAGGGTGCCGCTCCCTCAGGTGTGTCTCAGGTAGACCCGGTTGCGCCTGTTGAGGTAGCTGTCAACTCTCGTCCTGCTGCGGGTGCGGAGCCTGGGGGTGCTGAGCCTGGGGGTGCTGAGCCTGGGGGTGCTGAGCCTGGGGGTGCTGAGCCTGGGGGTGCTGAGCCTCGGGGTGCTGAGCCTGGGAGTACTGAGCCTGGGGGTGCTGAGCCGCTGAGTCCGGAGTCTGGGGATTCTGAGTCTGGAGGTCCTGAGCCTGAGGGTCCTACACCTGGAAGAGCCCTCTCCTCGGAGCAGCTACGTGCGTGGTACTTACAGTACTGCAGTCTCAGGAGCGGTACCTCTCGAGCCAGGCGTACTACTGGGACTGGTGCTAGTGCTTCTTCTCCTAGCCGGGAGCTCCCCTCCCGTGAGCGGATCCGTGAGTGGTACGAGCGGCGCTGCACTCTTCGGAGTGGTGCGCCTGCTGTCGCGGACCCCGCTGCTGCTGCTGGTACTGCGGACCCGGGCGTTAGAGCTGCTGCTGGTGCTGCGGACAAGGGCGTTGGAGCTGCTGCTGGTGCTGGGGACCCGGGAGTTCGAGCTGCTGCTGGTGCTGAGGACCCGGGCGTTGGAGCTGTTGCTAGTGCTGAGGACCCGGGCGTTGGAGCTGCTCCTGGTGCTGAGGACCCAGGCGTTGGAGCTGCTACTGGTACTGCGGACCCGGGCGCTGGTGCTGCGGCTAGTGCTGAGGACCCGGGCGTTGGAGCTGCTACTGGTACTGCGGACCCGGGCGTTGGAGCTGCTGCTGGTGCTGCGGACCGGGGTGCTGGTGCTGTGGAGTCGGGCGTTGGAGCTGCTGCTGGTACTGGTGCTGCCGCTGGGGGTGCTGGTGCTGTCCCTGCTGTGTCTGGAGTCGCCGAGCGGCCTCGGCCTTACTTCGTACCGCTCCTTCAGCAGGTTCTTGGTCTCTCGCCTCCTCCTGGTCCTCCTCCCTTAGCGTGTCCACAGCCTGTCCCGTCCCAGTTACAGTTGCAGCCGGCCTCCCCACTACCTGCTCCTTCTCCCTACGCTGGTCCTACTGGAGGTCTTACTGAGCGTCGTGAGCCTGCGTCTCACCCTGCGTCGCCTGTCCGTCCTGCTAGCGCTAGTGGTCGTGGTTCGCGTCAGCGCCCTCCTCCTGTCCCTGGCACGCACCGGATGTCTCTGCGTCCGTCCACTGCTCCTCTGCGTGCCTCTTTACCTTCTCCTCATGAGTCTTCTTTTCCTGCTCTTGACGACCCGGAGTCGGACTCTCTTCGTGCTGCCAGTCCTACTCTCACGCGTCTCCTTGCTACTGTCGTCACTGACCCTTCCTTTGAGTCCACTACTGCATCTGCCCTAGTTGCTGAGCTTGTCGACTTTGCTGCTTGCTGTCGTCTAGACTACGCTGCTAGTCTCGTCGCTGAGTCCAAGTCTGTCTGTCCTCCATCCGTCAGGGGGTGAGTGTGCCCTTGGCACGGACGTCCTTGAGGACAGGCAGGAGGAGTTCCAGTGCTTGGCCGCTGCTTCACCTCATCTCGTGTCCGTACTGCTTACCCCTGAGGGAGACCCGGATGCACTTGACATCCCGACTCCGCGCTCTTACGCGGAGGCGATAGAGGGTCCCTACTCTTCTCAGTGGCAGGCAGCTATGGATGAAGAGATGGCTTCCTGGAAGTCCACAGGCACCTACGTTGACGCTGTCCCCCCTCCTGGGGCGAACATCGTCAGTGGCATGTGGATCTTCAGGGTGAAGCGGCGGCCGGGTTCTCCGCCTGTCTTCAAGGCGCGTTACGTGGCTCGTGGCTTCAGTCAGCCGCAGGGAGTTGACTACTTTCAGACCTTCTCCCCCACCCCGAAGATGACCACTCTTCGGGTACTGCTGCACGTTGCTGCTCATCGTGACTACGAGCTGCACTCTCTCGACTTCAGCAAAACTTTCTTGCAGGGCAGCCTGCACGAGGAGATCTGGCTGCGCCGCCCACCTAGCTTCACTGGGTCTTTCCCTCCTGGCACCCAGTGGAGTCTCTGGCGTCGAGTCTACGGTCTCCGCCAGGCGCCACGTGAGTGGCATGTCAAACATCGTATGTTGTGCTTGTTTAGGCTACAGTGGGTTAGCCTATAGTGGGTACACTTTTCTAGGGTTAGGTTTGACCTATTTGTACCCAACTCTCATTCTAGTCATTCATTCTCATTCTGACATGGTATTACGAGCCTAGGTTTCACCTAGGACCGAAACGTTAGGGCCCACCGTTTCCGCTACCCGCGCCCTCGTGCGCCACCTCGTTCTTATGGCCCCCTAAGGCCCTCTCGCGTCGCCCTCCTAAGGCCCCTTACGGCCCCGCGCTAGCCTCTCACGGCCCCGTGTGGCCCCGCGCTTGCCTCTCACGGCCCCCCGATCGGCCTCGCGTTAGCCTCTCACGGCCCCCGATCGGCCTCGCGCGAGCCTCTCACGGCCCCCCCCAGGCCCCGCGCTAGCCGCCTATGGCCCCCGTCGGCCCCGCGCTAGCCTCTCACGGACCCCAAACGGCCCCGCGCTAGACCCGAACGGCCCCGCGCTAGCCTCTCACGGCCCCGCGCTAGCCTCTCACGGCCCCGAACGGCCCCGCGCTAGACCCGAACGGCCCCGCACTAGCCGCCTCAAGCCCCCGTCGGCCCCGCGCCAGCCTCTCACGGCCCCCCCCAAACGGCCCCGCGCTAGCCCCGATCGGACCCGCGCTAGCCCCGAACGGCCCCCGATCGGCCCTGCCCTCGCCCTGGACGGCCCCGCGCTTTCCCTTCGCAGCCCCACCTGGCCCCGCGCTCGCCCCTCTAGGACCAAGTCGCGGCCCGCGACCCGACCGAGCCGAGCCGCCCTAGCCGAGCCGCGCCGCCCTAGCCGAGCCGCGCCGCCCTAGCCGAGCCGCGCTGCCCAGGCCGAGTCGCACCGCCCAGGCCGAGCCGCACTGCCCTACTGCCTCTGCTACTACTGCTGCTACTGCTCCTACTGCTGCTACTACTACTTCTGCTACTACTACTGCTGCCACTGCTACTGCTTCAGCTATGGCTAGCCCTAGAGTTCTCTCGTTCGATGCTGAGGGCCACCCGGTTAAGTTTGAGTCCTGGCTAGATGATCTGCACCTGTTCCTCCAACTCACTGCCAGAGAGGATATCTCGCTGTACGATCACGCACTCGGCACAGTCCCTGCTCCTGCTGCTACTGACACCGCTACTGCTCGCTCGCAGTGGCAGACTCGCGATGCTCACGCCCGCTTTGCTATTTGCAACTCCCTGCCAGTCGATGAGCGCGAGCACTTTGGTCAGCATCAGACTGCACAGGCCCTGTACACTCCGGTAGTTGCGCGCTACTCCTCCCCGGCCTCAGCTGCACTAGGCCGTCTCTCGCTTCCCTACCTGTTCCCGGACCTGTCCGCCTTCCACACAGTCGCTGACCTCATCACTCACCTCCGTACTAGTGATGCCCGCTTCCGTGCAGCCATGCCCGCTGAGTTTCTTGCCTCCAACCCTCCGCTGCTCTGGCTCACTCTCTACCACCTAGTCACCCGCCTCCCTGACAGTCTGCGTACAGTCAGGGACCACTTCCTAGCTCGCTGCCCCACTAAGCTTACCATTGCCGCCCTAGAGAAGGAACTACTTGCAGCTGAGAAGAGTATTGTAGCTGTAGGTACCTCTCGTGGCGACCCCCGCACCCCTTTCTTCGAGGGGTGTTCCCCCCTCCCCCCTGCTCCCCTCTGTCGCCTCTGCTGCTGCTGTCGACCTTCTTGGTACTGAGCAGGTCGGCTCTGCGTCCGCTCCCAGCGGGCGCCGCAGCGGCAAGGGCAGGAGAGGCAAGGGCGGTGGGGGTGACGGCGGGGGAGGCGGTGGTGGGGGTGGTGGCAGCGGTGGAGGCGGTGGCGGGGCTGGAGGGGCTAGTGGCAGCGGTGGGGGTGGTGGAGGCAGCGGCGGCGGCAGTGGCCGGGGTGGGGGCGGTGGTGGTGGCGGCAGTGGACGTGGCGGCGGCAGGGGCGGTGGTGGTCGTGGCGACGGAGGCAGTGGTGGTCGCGGAGGCTCTGGCACTGGCCAGAGTACGCAGCACCCTCAGTCCTCCCAGGAGCTTCGTGAGTGGTACTTCCAGCACGGGGGTGGGGGTGGTAGCCTTAGCTGCACTTACGTCATCCGCACTGGTCGCCGTGTGGGACAGACGTGCGGGAGGGCGCACACTGCGCAGCGCTGCTTCTCACGCCTAGATGATGCTTGGCGTACTCAGTTTCCTGACGCTCCTGAGCTCCCTCAGTGGGCTGATCTCCTCAAGAAGGATATCGATATTTATGCTCTTGATTTTGATGTTATTCTCAAAGCCATGTATGCATTGACTATTAGTGGAGAGGAGGACCAGTACCTGTGTGTTCCGCCTGACCCAGGCATCCGCACGAGTGAGGCTGCCGCACTAGGTGCTTGCGTGTCTGCTGCCCCAGGTGCTGGTGAGGCTACTGCTCTAGGTGCTTGTGCGTCCGTCACCCCAGGTACTACCGAGTCCACTGAGGCACTGCACACCTTCACTCTAGACTCAGGCGCTTCGCGCTGTTTCTTTCGTGACCGCACTGCTCTTGAGCCCCTTGCTCGACCAGTCGCTGTCTTGCTCGCTGACCCCTCTGGGGGTCCGGTCATTGCGACCTCCTCCACTGTCCTTCCCTGTCCTGCTGTCCCGTCGGGCACACTGTCAGGTCTCCACCTCCCCTCGTTCTCTACGAACTTGGTGGCAGGTTGTGCGCTTCAGGATGGGGGTGTTCACCAGTTCACCCCTGCCTACGAGCGCGTGACACACTGCACGTGTGCTCGGACGGGCCGTCACCTGGCTACCTTCACTAGGCAGCCGGGGTCGGACCTGTACACACTGACCACTGAGTCCCCTCAGGTAGCTGCGTCTGCGTCTGCGTCAGGTCAGCTGTCTGCCCCCTGCTCGTGTCGCTCTCTAGCGCACAAGACTGTCCTCTGGCACCACCGACTTGGTCACCCGTCAGTGCAGCGCCTTCGGGGCATGCACGCCCGGTACCTTGTCTCTGGTCTTCCTCGGGTACTCCCTCCCCTCCCACCCTCCCTTGCTCCTCCTTGTCTTCCCTGTGTTGAGGGGCGGCAGCGCGCTGCCCCTCACTCCTCCTCGTTCCCCCCGACGACTGCTCCTTTGCAGACGCTCCACATGGACGTGTGGGGCCCAGCCCGCGTCAGTGGTCAGGGCCAGGAGAGGTACTTCTTGATCGTCGTTGACGACTACTCGCGCTACACCACGGTCTTCCCCTTGCGCACCAAGGGTGAAGTCCCTGATGTCCTGATCCCTTGGATCAGCCGAGCACGTCTTCAGCTGCGAGAGCATTTTCGCTCGGAGTTTCCTGTCCTGCGCTTGCACTCTGACAGAGGTGGCGAGTTCTCCTCCGACCTCTTGGCAGCCTACTGTGCTGAGCACGGCATTCGCCAGTCGTTCACGCTTCCGGCCTCTCCACAGCAGAATGGGGTTGCTGAGCGCCGCATTGGCTTGGTCATGGAGGTCGCTCGTACCTCCTTAGTCCACGCGGCTGCCCCCCACTTTCTGTGGCCGTTTGCGGTCCGGTACGCTGCGTATCAGCTCAACCTCTGGCCCCGTGTCTCCTTGCCGGAGACTTCGCCCACACTGCTGTGGACGGGGGAGGTTGGCGATGCGTCGCGCTTCCGTGTCTGGGGATCCCGAGCTTTTGTTCGCGACACGTCTGCGGACAAGCTCTCCTCCCGCACTGCTCCGTGTGTCTTTCTTGGCTTTGTCCCGGATGCGTCTGGCTGGCAGTTTTACCACCCCGCCTCGCACCGCGTCTTCCCCTCTCAGGACGTCACTTTTGACGAGTCTGTGCCCTTCTACCGCCTCTTCCCCTACCGCACTGCCCCGCTCCCTCCCCCGCCTCTCTTCCTCGCGCCAGGTGCTGCAGTGGTAGACCCCCTCCCCCCTCAGGGTGCCGCTCCCTCAGGTGTCTCTTAGGTAGACCCGGTTGAGCCTGCCGAGGTAGCTGTCGACTCGCGTCTTGCTAGAGGTGCTGAGCCTGAGCGTGCGGAGCCTGAGAGGGCGGAGCCTGGGGGTGCTGAGTCTGGGGGTGCTGAGACTGGGGGTGCTGAGCCTGGGGGTGCTGAGCCTGGGGGTGCTGAGTCTGGGAGTTCTGAGCCTGGTGTTGCTGAGTCTGGGGGTGCTGCACCTGGAGTTACTGAGCCTGGTGGTGTTACAGTTGACTGTGAGGCGCCTGGAGGACCTCCCTCTTCGCAGCAGCTCCGTGAGTGGTACTCACGGTACTGCAGCCTCCGGCGGGGTGCGTCTCGGGCTCGTGGGACTACAGGAGGTGGTACCCGTGTTTCCCCGCCACGGCGGGAGCCGCCCTCTTCCCCACAGCTTCGGGAGTGGTACGCTTGACACATTAGTCTCCGGAGTGGAGCTGCTGGTGCTGGGGTCCCCGGAGTTGACGCTGCTGCGGGTGCTGCTGACCCTGGTGCTAGAGGTGCTACTAGTACTGAGGACCCGGGCGTTGGAGCTGCTGCGAGTGCTGCGGACCCTGGTCCTGGAGGTGCTGCTGCTGCTGGAGGTGCTGCTGGTGTTGCTGGAGGTGCTGCTGCTGCTGCTGGAGTGGAGGACCCGGAGGGTGGAGCTTCTGCTGGTGCTGAGGACCCTGCCGCTAGTGTCTCTGCTGGTTCGGGAGTTGCTGCTCGGCCACGGCCGTACTTCGTTCCGCTCCTTCAGCAGGTTCTTGGTCAGCCTCCTCCTCCTTGTCCTCCTCTCGCCTTAGAGTGTCCGCCGTCAGTCCAGTCACAGCCACAGTTACTACCTGCCTCCTCACTCCCTGTGCCTGCTCCTTACACTGGTCCGACTGGAGGTCTTGCTGAGCGACGTGAGCCTGCGTCACGTCCTGTGTCACCTGCGTCTCGTCGAGCGTCGCCTGTTCGTGCTGCTGCCACTGGTAGTCGTGTCCCGCGTCAGCGTCCTCCTGCTGTCCCAGGCACTCACCAGATGGCGCTTCGTCAGTCCACTACTCCGCAGCGTGTCGCTCTCCCGTCGCCTCCTGGGTCCTCTCTTCCTGCGCTTGCTGACCCCGAGTCAGACACCCTTCGCGCTGCCAGTCCTACTGTCACACGTCTTCTGGCTACGGTTGTCTCTGACCCTTCCTTTGAGTCCGCTGCTGCGTCTACCTTAGTCACTGAGCTTGTCGCCTTTGCAGCTGCGTGTCGTCTAGACTACGCTGCGAGTCTTGTTGCTGAGTCTGAGTCTGTCTGTCCTCCCTCCGTCGGGGGTGAGTGTGCTCTTGGCACGGACGTTCTTGAGGCCAGGCAAGAGGAGTTTGGTTGCCTTGCCGCTGCTTTGCCCCATCTCGTGTCCATGCTTGTTGCCCCTGAGGGAGACCCGGATGCACCAGACATCCCGACCCCACGCTCTTACGCAGAGGCGATGGCCGGTCCCTACTCCTCTCAGTGGCAGTCAGCCATGGACACAGAGATGGCTTCCTGGAAGTCCACTGGCACCTACGTCGACGAGGTTCCCCCACCTGGGGCGAACATCGTCAGTGGCATGTGGATTTTCAGGGTGAAGCGGCCGCCAGGTTTTCCGCCTGTCTTCAAGGCGCGTTACGTTGCGCAAGGCTTCAGTCAGCGAGAGGGAGTTGACTTCTTCCAGACCTTCTCCCCGACCCCGAAGATGACCACTCTTCGGGTTCTGCTACACGTCGCCGCTCAGCGTGACTACGAGCTCCACTCTCTTGACTTCAGCACTGCTTTCTTGCAGGGCAGTCTGCACGAGGAGATCTGGCTGCGCCGCCCACCTGGCTTCACTGGGTCGTTCCCTCCTGGTACCCAGTGGAGCCTCCGGCGGCCAGTCTACCGTCTCCGCCAGGCGCCTCGTGAGTGGCACGACACACTGAGGACTACACTTGCGGCTCTTGGGTTCGCTCCTTCTACTGCTGACCCGTCGCTGTTTCTACGCACCGACACCTCACTGTCGCCGTTCTACATCCTCGTGTATGCGACGACTTGGTCTTTGCCACTTCTGACACAGCTGGTCTCGCTCACGTGAAGTCCGAGCTGCAGAAGAGACACACGTGCACAGACCTGGGTGAACTGACAAGCTATCTTGGCTTGCGGATCACCCGGGACAGAGCACGCCGCACCATTACCCTGACTCAGTCACACATGGTGCAGCAGGTCCTTCAGCGCTTCGGCTTCACGTACTCCTCGCCTCAGTCCACTCCTCTGCCTACGGGACACTCGCTCTCAGCTCTGCCTTCGGATGAGTCCGTAGAGCCGAGTGGTCCGTATCCAGAGCTTGTGGGCTGCCTCATGTACCTGATGACCTGCACGCGACCTGACCTTGCATACCCTCTCAGCATCTTAGCACGCTATGTCGCTCCCGGCCGTCACCGGAAGGAGCACATGGATGCAGCTAAGAGGGTGTTGCGCTACTTGTGCAATACGTCGGGCATGGGTCTAGTGCTTGGAGGGCGAGACCGGCCTGTTCTCACTGGGCACTCAGACGCTTCTTGGGCAAACGACCAGGCTACTCAGCGGTCGTCCCAGGGTTACACCTTCAGCCTTGGCTCTGGCTCTGTCTCTTGACGTTCTACTCGCTCTTCTTCTGTTCTCAGCTCCAGCTGTGAGGCTGAGATCTACGCCACGGCCATGGCTGCCCAAGAGCTTCGCTGGCTCACCTACCTGCTGACTGACCTTGGAGAGCAGCCTTGTTCTCCTCCAGTGCTGTACGTCGACAACAAGGCCACCATTGCCTTGTGTGGGGAGCACAGACTGGAGCACAGGACGTAGCACATTGCTCTACGCTACTTTCTTGCTCGAGAGTTGCAGCAGCGAGGTCAGCTTTGTCTGCGTTACGTGGCCACTCGGGCCAACACTGCTGACGTGTTCACCAAGGCGCTTCAGCCTTGTGACCATCAGCGCTTCTGTACTGTTCTAGGCCTCGTGCCTACTGTCCCTCATTTGCTCACTTATTGACTTTGCTTGTACAGTGATCTCTATATATATATATACCTGCATGCTTACTCTTGCTAGGTTGTGATCACTGTATCTCTTGTTCTTTTATAACTCTGCATGTGAACTGGTCTTGTGACCGCTTGCTTGTGCTCGGAACTTGTGTGGTATCCTCGAGATCCACCCTGAGCTTTGCTTTGCTTTGACTGGTCTTGTGACCCCTTGTTCTCCCCCACTTTGCCTATGGGGGTGTGTCAAACATTGTATGTTGTGCTTGTTTAGGCTACAGTGGGTTAGCCTATAGTGGGTACACTTTTCTAGGGTTAGGTTTGACCTATTTGTACCCAACTCTCATTCTAGTCATTCATTCTCATTCTGACATGGCACGACATACTGAGGACTACGCTTGCGGCTCTTGGGTTTGCTCCTTCTACTGCCAACCCGTCGCTGTTTCTGCGCACCGACACCTCTCTGCCGCCGTTCTATATCCTCGTGTACGTCGATGACTTGGTCTTTACCACAGCTGACACTGCTGGACTCGCCTACGTGAAGTCCGAGCTGCAGAAGAGACACACGTGCACCGACTTGGGTGAACTGCGCAGCTACCTTGGCTTGCAGATCACCCGGGACAGAGCACGCCGCACCATTACCCTGACTCAGTCACACATGGTGCAGCAGGTTCTTCAGCGCTTCGGCTTCACGTACTCCTCGCCTCAGGCCACTCCTCTGCCTACTCGCCACTCACTCTCAGCTCTGCCTTCGGATGAGTCCGTAGAGTCGAGTGGCCCGTATCCAGAGCTTGTTGGCTACCTCATGTACCAGATGACCTGCACACGACCTAACCTTGCATATCCTCTTAGCATTCTTGCACGCTATGTTGCTCCTGGGAGACACCGACCAGAGCACATGGCTGCAGCGAAGAGGGTGTTACGCCACCTGTGCAGTACGTCGGGCATGGGGCTAGTGCTTGGAGGGCGGAGTCCAGTGGTCCTCACTGGGCACGCGGACGCTTCTTGGGCTGACGACCAGGCTACGCAGCGGTCGTCACAGGGTTACACCTTCAGCCTTGGTTCCGGCTCTGTTTCGTGGCGGGCTACTCGCTCGTCTTCTGTTCTCGGCTCCAGTTGTGAGGCTGAGATCTACGCCGGGGCCATGGCTGCACAGGAGCTTCGCTGGCTCACCTACCTGCTGACCGACCTTGGAGAGCAGCCTCGTTCTCCTCCAATCCTGTACGTAGACAACAAGGCCATGCTGGCCTTGTGTCGAGAGCAGAGACTGGAGCACAGAACAAAGCACATTGCTCTTCGCTATTTCCTTGCTTGTGAGCTACAGCAGCGTAGACAGTTGCGACTTGCTTACGTGGCCTCTAAGGCCAACACTGCTGATGTCTTCACCAAGGCACTTGCGCCTTGTGATCATCAGCGCTTCTGCACTCAGCTGGGTCTTGTGCCTGTCTTACCTCACTTGCTCACCTCTTGACCTTACTTGTACTGTCACATATATATATGCCTGCTCTTGCTTGTCTAGCTTTATATATATGTGTACACTTGCATGTGAACTGGCCTTGTGGCCTTGACCTTGTGCCCAGACTGTGTGGTGACTTTGAGATCCACCCTGAGCTTGCTTTGCTTTGCTTTGTTTTGCTGGACTGGTCTTGTGACCCCTTGTTCTTTCCCACTTTGCCTATGGGGGTGTGTCAGAATGTTATATAGCTTATACATTTGTGTAGGCTGTAGTGGGGTATCCCATAGGGGGTTCAACCCAATTAGGGTTAGTACTTGTACTCACTCCTTTCATAGTTCAGTCATTCCAGTTCATTAATTTCAACACAGGTTACAGATTCAGCAAACAGGCGGCATTGCGAGACCTCTCACCATATTACCTACTCTTAGGAAGAGACCCCGTGTTACCTGTGGATGCGCCAAAAATACTCACCAGGTCCGTGGAAGTGGCCAACGAAGAGGAGTGGGTGGGGCTGGCGGAAGCAAGAGTGAGGTACCTGAGGGAGCTTTTACCAGCGGCACTAGAAAACTTACACGTGGCACAGTTGAGAGACGCGCAACGGTACAAGAAGAGAGGAGAAAGGCAAGAGGGGAAGAAGGATAAGACCTTGGGAGCAGGGGAAGAAGTGTACCTAAAGCAAGCGAAACACGACCTCATGGACCTCGCGCTGAGTACGGAGCGCTGGAAAGTTAAGGAGATCAAAGAATCTGGGGTAGTGGTGCTGGTAGGGGCACAAGGGCAGAGGAGAACGGATCACTGCACTGACGTGGCGCGAGCAAGGGGGCGGACTATGGAGGACGCAGCAAGACAGACCGGAGACTAAAAGTTCCAGCGGCAGTCGGCAGGAGCCAATAGACAACCGCGGAGGGGGCAAGTGGAGAAGGCACAAGAATAAGGAGAGGAGTGGCAGAGAACTACAGACATCATTTAGGCTCAGAGGAGGGCACCACTCAGAAAGCCTATGCTCCAGGACCCACTAGAGGCAAAGAAGGAGAGAAGCAGAACTTGGCGGAGTAGAAGAGCAAGATTCCGACATCCCTCCCTCCCCTTCTTCCGGGGCCTGGCCCTACCTGCGTCCCCTGTGTCGAGGGGCGGCAGCGCGCTGCCCCTCACTCCTCCCAGTTTCCTCCGACAGAGGCCCCGCTGTAGACGCTTCACCTGGACGTGTAGGGCCCCGCCCGCGTCCGTGGACAGGGTCACGAGCGCTACTTCCTGCTGGTGGTTGATGACTACTCGCGTTACACCACAGTCTTCCCCTTGCGCAGCAAGGGTGATGTCACTGAGGTGCTGATCGACTGGATCCGCGCAGCTCGTCTCCAGCTCAGGCAGAGCTTCGGCTCGGACTTTCCTGTTCTGCGTCTGCACTCTGACAGAGGCGGAGAGTTCTCCTCTGGCCTTGTGCGAGCCTACTGTCGTGCACGAGGCATCCGCCAGTCCTTCACGCTTCCGGACTCTCCACAACAAAATGGGATTGCTGAGCGCCGCATTGGCATGGTCATGGACGTCACTCGTACGTCCATGATGCATGCGGCTGCCCCCCATTTTCTGTGGCCGTTTGCGGTTCGGTACGCAGCGCATCAGATCAACCTCCACCCCAGGGTCTCCCGACCGGAGACCTCCCCAGCCTTGCTTTAAATGGGGAAGGTTGGCGATGCGTCTGCGGTCCGTGTCTGGGGATCTCGGGCGTTTGTTCGCGACTTGTCTACGGACAAGCTGTCCCCTCGTGCTGCTCCTTGCGTGTTCCTGGGTTTCCCCCCTGACGCGCCAGGGTGGCAGTTCTACCACCCCACCTCTCGCCGTGTTCTGTCCTCCCAGGACGTCACGTTTGACGAGTCGGTCCCCTACTACCGTCTCTTCCTCTACCGCACTCCGTCCCTCCCCCCGCCGCCGCTCTTCCTTGTACCAGGTTCCCCCCCGGTAGACCACCTCCCCCCTCAGGGTCTAGCCCCTTCAGGTGTGTCCCAGGTAGACGAAGTCGAGCCTGTCGAGGTCACTGTTGACTCTAGTGCTGCTGAGGGTGCTGAGCTTGGGGGTGCTGACTCCGAGGGTGCTGAGCGTGTGCGTGCTGAGCCTGGCGGTGCTGAGCTTGGGGGTGCTGAGCCTGGGGGTGTTGAGCCTGGGGGTGCTACGCGTGGGGGTGCTGAGCCTAGGGGAGGTGCTGAGCCTGGGGGTGCTACGCCTGGGATTACTGAGCCTGGGGGTGCTACGTCTGGAGGTGCTTAGCCTGAGGGTGTGGAGCCTGAGGGAGCTGGGCCTGCTTGTGAGGCGTCCGGCGGTGCTGGGCCTGGAGGTTCTTCGGGTGCTTCGTCTCGGCGGGAGCCACTCTCTCCACAGGAGCTGCGTGAGTGGTTTGCCCAGCGCTGGAGGCGTACTGCTGGAGCTGGAGGTTCTTCGGCTACTGAGGGTGCTGGTGCCGCGGGTCCCGGAGGTGCTCGTACTGGAGGTACTGGAGCTGCTGGGCCGGCGGGTGCGTCTGGAGCTAAAGCTGCAGAGGGTGTCGGCGCTGCGACTTCTGCTGTCGGTCCTGGCGGCGGTGTTACTGGCGGTACTGGAGCTGGAGGAGCTGCTGGCGCGGGTGCTGCCGCTGGGTGTGCTGGTGCTGTCCCTGCTCTGTCTGGACACCAGCATGTGACAGGGCGCACGCATGCGTCCGGGAAACAAGCATGCAACTGGGCGCAAGCATGCGACCGGACACAAGCATGCGTCCGAACACAAGCATGCCTCCGGACACAAGCATGCGTCCGGACACAAGCATGCGACCGGGCGAAAGCATGCGTCTGGACACAAGCATGCGTCCGAACACAAGCATGCGACCGGGCGCAAGCATGTGTCCGGACACAAGCATGCGACCGGGAGCAAGCATGCGTCCAGACACAAACATACGACCGGGCGCAAGCATGCGTCTGGACACAAGCATGCGACCGGGCGCAAGCATGCGTCCGGACACAAGCATGCGAGTGGGCGAAAGCATGCGACCGGACACAAGCATGCGTCCGGACACAACCATGCGTCCGGGCACAACCATGCGACCGGGCGCAAGCATGCGACCAAACACAAGCATGCGACCGGGCGCAAGCATGCGTCCGGACACATGCATGCATCCGGACACAAGCATGCATCCGGACACAAGCATGTATGCGGACACAAGCATGCGACAGGACACAAGCATGCGTCTGGACACAAGCATGCGACCGGGCGCAAGCATGCGTCCGAACACAAGCATGCATCTCGACACAAGCATGCGACCGGACACAAGCATGCCACTGGGCGCAAGCATGCGACTGGACACAAGCATGCGATCGGGCGCAAGCATGCGTCCGGACACAAGCATGCAT